TGAATAGTCTGGATTACTTTCTTTAAGAATTGGCTGATTTGACCTTCGTGCTGTCCAAAGGACTCTCAAAAGTCTTCTCCAGCACCACAATTCAAAAGTGTGGATTCTGCAGCACTCAGCTTTCCTTATAGTCCAACTCTCACAGCCATACACTGCTACTGGGAAAACTATAGTTTTGACTATATAGACCTTTGTCAGCATGATAATGTCTCTGCTTTTTAGTATGCTGTCCAGATTTGCCACAGCTTTCCTTTCAAGGGGCAAGTGTCTTCTAATTTCATGGCTGCTGTTGTTGTCTGTAGTGATCTTTGAGCCCAGGAGTATAAAATCTGTCATTGATTCCATTTCTTCTCCCTCTATTTGCCAAGGAAGTGATGGGGCCAATTGTCATGGTCTTAGTCTCTCCCCCCACTTCCCACACCATACACACACCTTTAATGTTAAGCTTCAAGCCAGCTTTTACAGTATCTTTTTTCACCCTCATTAAGAGACTTCTTAATTCTTCACTTTCTGCCACCAGAGTAGTATCATCTGCATATCTGAGATTGTTGATATTTTTCCTAGCAACCTTAATTCTGGCTTTTGATTTGTCCAGCCTGGCATTTTGTATAATATACTCTGCATATAAGTTAAATAAGGTGACAACATACAGCCTTGTCATACTCCTTTCCCAATCTTAAATCAATCAGTTGTTCCATATTTGGTTCTAACTGTTGGTTCTTGACAGGTATACAGTTTCCTCATGAGACAAGGAAGATGATCTGGTACTTCCATCCTTTTGAGGATTTACTACATTTTGATGGGATCCACACAAAGGCTTTAGTATAATCAACGAAGTAGAAATAGCTGTTTTTCTGGAACTCCTTTGATTTTCCATAATCCAGTAAATGTTGGCAATTTGGTCTCTGGTATCTCTGCCTCTTCAAAAACCAGCCTGCTGGTAATTCTGGGTTCATATATTGCTGAAGCCATATACTGAAGAATCTTAAGCATAAACTTGCTGGTGTATGACATGAGTAAGATTGTTCAGTAACTTGAACATTCCTTGGCATTGTCGTTCTATAGCATTGGGATGTAAACTGATGTTTTCCAAAACAGTAGCCACTGGTGAGTTTTCAAAATTTGCTGACATAATGAATCTAGCACTTTTAACAGTATCATCTTTTAGGATTTTAAATAGCTCAGCTGGAATTCCATCACTTCCAGTAGCCTTATTGTTAGCAATGCTTCCTAAGACCCATTTGACTTCATTCTTCAGGATGTATGGCTCTAGATAATAACCACACCATCATGGTTATAGGTGATGTTAACATCTTTCTTGTATTGTTCTTCAAGATATTCTTGTCATCCCTTTTTAATCTCTTCTACTTCTGTTAAGTCCCTACCCATTTTTGTTGCTTATCATACATATTTTTGCAAGAAACATTCTCTTGATGCCTAATTTTCTTGAAGAGATCTTGTCTTTCCCATTGTATTGTTTTCTTCTATTTCTTTGCATTACTCATTTAAGAAAACCTTATTATCTCTTGTTATTCTCTGGAATTCTGCATTCAGTTGAGTATTTCTTTCCCCTTCTTTCTCTTTCACTCTCCTTATTTCCTCAGCTATTTGTAAAGACTCATCAGACAGCCATTTTGTTTTCTTGCTCTCCTTTTTCTTTGGGATATTTTTTGTTGCTGCCTCCTGTTTGATATTGCAAACCTCTGTTCATAGTTCTTCAGGTCTATCTACCAGCTCTAATCCCTTAAATCTGGTCATCATTTCTACTCCACATTCATAAGGGATACTACTTAGGGCATACCTATATGCTCTAATGGTTTTCCCTGCTTTCTTGAATTTAAGTCTGAATTTGCAAAATATGCTCATGATCTGAGCCACAGTCAACTCCAGGTCTTGTTTTAACTGACTGTATAGAACTTTTTTCCACCATTGGTTGCAAAGTATATAATTAATCTGATTTTGAAATTGACCATCTGGTGATGTCCATGTGTAGAGTAGCCTTTTGGGTTGTTGATAAAAGAGGCTTTGCTATGACCATTGAGTCACAAATTAAATATAAGGCAGTTTGAAAAAAAGAGCATTAGCAATTAAAAGGATCAGGAAAGGTAAAGGGAAAAGGATTCTAGGAGACAGAGTTAAGGAGGAAGTACATTCCAGGGTGGAAAACCAGTGCAAAAGCATGAAGAGATGGATTATCATCTATGAAGAACAGAGAGGCCAGTTTGGCTAGATTGCAGAGCATAAAGATGGAAAGAGTGATGTCCAATGAGGCTAGAAAGATTGTTTGGGGTGAGGTTACAAAAAGCTTTTAAAAACTAAATGGAAGATGTTTTTTTTTTATTATTTTTAGGAAAAATTCATTCTGGAGACAGTAAGAGGCCACTGTTTCTTGAATTGAGAACATCTCCGAAAGTAGGATGTGGACACACCCATTTAACACACTATTCTTTGGGGATCCACTCTCTTAGACCATTTAGAGGGATTGAGCTACCTCTTTGTGTGGGCCTATAAAAAGGAAACATTGCAGAGTCATGCCCTTTATTGTAGAAGAAATCACAGATATGAGAGCAGGGTTTGGTTCCTCTAAGGACTAACAATCCTATTCTTAGTCACAGAGATGGTACCAGTTGGGGCTCTGTGTGAGTATTAAAGATTCTTGGACTTAAACTTGGAGAGGTAAAAGCAAAAGCACAGAAGTAAAAACCATTTGGCTTGAGGAGAGGGGAACCACAAATTAAGTAGAATTCATGAACCTGAAGCTTCTAGAAAGAAGTGACATCCTGGGAAGCATAATTACAAAATTTAGCTTTCTAGAGAGAAAGGTGGAATTTCTTGAGAGTGCTAACCTTTTGGAGAGAGAAAAGTTTCCTGGGAAGAGAGAAGGGGAATTCCTGGGCATCTCTTGGGAGAAGATTTGGGTACATATGGGACCTAAATCTTAAGAAAGAGTGGGAGAGTCTAAGCCACAATATAAGGCAGTAAGAGACATGTCCTTTGTCCTTCACTACTACTATTCATAGGATCATAGAAGGATCATAGATCTAGAGCTGGGGGAGACTTCAGAGGATAAGTGCAGGTCCAATTGGAAGGGTTTTATCTGCCTAGTAGTCCCAAATTTCCCTTCTGGAGAATTCTAAGTTTTTAGAGCAGTACCAAAAGGATAGATGCTTTGTAGTGAATCACTAATTAAAGGAATGGCTACACTAGTTTTCTCAAATTGGTTTCCCTACCTAGGCAAGTGCAATCCAGAGTGGTGCTGAGTCTCCAGTAGAGGTGTCAAACTCATACAGAAACAGATCCCTGGAGGAAAAGGGAGGGGGTGGTGGTGGTATATTGACTTTGAAAACCACAAATTAACATTTCTTTGTTGTATTTTATTTTGTTAAACATTTCCCAATTACATTTTAATCTGGTTATGGCTCACTCTGAGTTTTGCTGGCAATGAGTTTGATACCAGGGTAGAAAGCCCAGCAGCAGAGGATTCACTGGAGAGTGAGAGAAACCAAGTACTTATGAGCTACAGTGAGTCCTTTGTGCTTTTTTGTATTTTCTCTGAGGGTGGAATATCGACTGTTCTGTATGCATTGCCACCCTGAATGCTGTACAAAATCTGCAAAATCTTTTAGCTAAGTCTGTGGAGACTCAGGGACCAAATATCTCTTGTGCTTTTCCAGAGGGAACTCCCAGTCTGGGCAACATGAGCCAAAATGATTTTCATGGGATTGCCTCCAGAATCAAACATGGTCGATGTAAGCACCCAAAAGCCTGCGGTGCTTGGTTATAGTTTACAAATAGAAATTCTATACCAACTCATCATGAGATACCTTTTTATAATAACGTTAAAAACAACAGGGATAGGCAGAAATACAGGAGAGAGATGTATATATTTACATCTTTATAGAATGAATCATATTCTTTTGTACCCAGTTCTTTTGAAAACTTCTTGAAGGGTTGACAGCCCCATGTCTGACTTTCTCATTTTAAAAATTAGCTCCCAATAAACAAGTTTGAGGATGACATTTCATTTTGGTGGATTAAGGTCATTTTGCTATTCAAGCACCTAGAAAAAAACAAACCCAAATTAAGACTATATTAAAGCGTCCCAAGTTTGCAGAGGCATAATCCTCAATAAAATATACTGATAAAAGTAAGAATAGCTGTTTTCTGGGCAGATATCTCTTTAGAAAGAAATAAGGGATTATAGAAATCCTAGGTGACACAGTAGTAAAAGTTATACTGGAAGGAATGAGATTTGTAAGCAGTAGTCCTCAGTATGGAAATTCTGACTTAATTCTTTAAGTTCTTAGTTTCAGTAGGAAAATTAAAGCTGCAGCCCATTGTAAATGGATTTAATTTATTACTACTGTATGGAGAATTACTAATTTCCTTGTTCCTTGAGAAAAGTTTTGGCTCATTCCTGCCTGACTCTCCCCAAACCCTTTTCTTTCCAGAAGACCTTCAAGGTTGATTTGCACAGCCCAGCCATAGATTTCCATTTATATCAACTTAGATGACAAAGTTTATAGCTCTTTCCAGTATTAATTTTATACTCTCTTTCAGGCATTGTTCATTCCAGTTGAACTGCACTATTAGCTATTCCCAGTACACAACATTGCATTTCCCACACTTTCATGCCTTTTACAAGTGGTTCCTCATTACTGGAATTCCTTCAAAGCACAGGTCAGGTTATCTTATTCAAGGCCTTCCTCAACTCCCCTCAGTTATTAACACTCTTTCCTCTTGAGCTCACTTTATATTATTTTGTATATAATTTACATTTACTTGTTTACATGTTGCAGCTCCGTCTTCCCCAAGTAGATTGTAAGTTCCTTGAGAGCAAATATTGTTTCATTTTTGTCTCTGTAGCCAAAATACCTAGAACAATGCTTTGAACACCATAGGCACTTAATAAATATTTTTTGAATTTAATATTAAGAAACTTCACATCACTTTATGTAACAACTTTACTGAATAAAGAATTACAGATTGTATGAACCAGTAGGTCAATAGCATATAATATGGTAATTTAAAAAGAACCACAGACTAATAAAAAGCCAATCAATCAGCAAACAGTATGTATGGTTAAATGATTTCCAGTCTTCCTAATTACTGGAGAACTCCAGTAATATGGCTTATTTTTGGAGGAAAACTACTACTTTTGGAATTTCAATGTCTACAGTCCATAAAGCAACATATTAGTCAGAAGGATAGACTTGGATTATAAATTATAAAATGAAACAAAGTACCATTCATAGATAACCTAGTTAAGACATAAATGAAAAAAGAGAGAATTTGATCTTTACCTAAGAAATGCTATACCTTTCTCCAGGAAGCTAACTTGAGATTTTATGTGGATACGAACAATTAAGGATGGTCCATAACATCCTACTACACAAATAGAGGTATCTGCAAATATTGCATGAGTCAATTTCTTCCTAAAGAAAATAAATATGTAGAACAGCGGAAGAAGGTAAACTTTCTAATTCTCAGGCTCAATTATTCTTTCCCTGTTTAAAACACACACACACACACACACACACACACAAAGAAGCATTTCCTTCAATGTTCATAGCATACTATACAGAGAATAGATCAAACACAAAAACTTCATTCACCTCCATCATTAAATAAAAACATCAATATACAGATAAAGGGATGTTTATGATATTTGTATAAATTTCTCAAGTCAGTTTTGCCAATTATCCATCATAAAGAATGCTGTTTCATAGTACTCATTTATGCTTAACTATTTTTCACATCCCCATGGCAAATTTTGGTTTGGTAGAAATTAAAAGTAGCTCAAGATACTTATTTTTCTTTTTAAATTAGAAAATGACTTTATCCTAGAATTGAATTTTTAGAATCTATAAGCTGGTTGAAAAAATACATTTCCAATGCAAAAACAACATCAAGCATATTGCTGGTGCTGCAATAATTTTTTGTATGTTCATGTTTTTATTTTCATATAAAAAACCAAATTTTAACACCATGACTAAAATTTTTTTACATGGTTAAAAATAACCATAAGACATTAATGATCTGTATCATGCATGGACAAAAAAGAGAGAGAAAAGAATGATCAAACACTATTTGTTTGCAATTGTTCTAGTTTTCTTTTTAGTAGATTGTAATTTTCCTTGGTCGCTGGTGCCAGAGGGTCAAGCTTCAGAGAGACTTCATAGTATTTCTTGGCTAAGTCAAAGTTTCCCCAACGGTGGTAAAGCACAGCTGAAACAGCAAGAAGCAGTTTTTATTGGAAATCTTTCTGCATAATTTGCAAAACTCAATCATTTCTTGAAAAAAAAAACATTAAAATATATCACAGCATTGATACTTTAAAAAAATCACTTGATCTAAGGAAATACTCTGTATCACATAACTTACTTTACCTTAATTACCTTCAGTAATGATATTCCTTTCTAGATACCACCATGTCTTTAAATTGGTCCCTAGCACTAAACGAAACACTAATATTTGGCTACTGCAAAAAGAATAAGAGGTACTATATTAACAACATAAAGGAATTATGTTAAAGACAGGGCAAAATAGAACAAACTCTTCTTAAGGCTAGTGCTGAATTTCCTAGATTGTGCTAAAATTCTGATTCTTTTTAGGTTTGGGCATGTGGTTGTTCTTATCATTGCAATAAAGAATTATGAATTTGTTTTTCAGTCAAGTTTTTCTAGCCATCTCAGCACAGTAATATCTGGCTGTATATTCTGTCAGCTGAAAGACAGGGACATAAAAAATAACAATGAATAACATTGAAAAGGTAGAGAAATTAATCTACATCTTGGGATTTGGTTCTAAAACTTTGCTATTGGTTAATTTATATAATTTCAAATTTAAAATGCTACTAACTCTACATATAGATGAAATGTTGGAATGATTTGAAGGGCAACATGATATTCCAGTAGCCCCCAAACATCTTCCCTATCCTGACCCTGTAATTCATGGTAGAAGGTCTTTTTCAACTCCACAACCATATTTGAAGGCAGTCTCTAGACAATCCCACATAAAATATATTACCTGGAAAGAGTGAGGCCTCAGCACTAATTAACAGAAAGAACAAAACAATTAACCTTTGATGGATGGACTGGGTAGCCAGGGAGGGTAAGACTATCCAGAGCATGGAGGGAAAATCTGAATGGTGGTCTACAAAAAACCCACTATGTGCTTGAGTAGTAGGGACCAAAGAAGATGGGAGGTGGAGAATAACTGAGACATCTAAGATGAACTTTGCTTATTTTACAGTCTTGTGTAACTTGACATAGTTTACAAATATGCTGACCTGTAGTTACTTAAATGTTGGAGAACGATGTAGTGCCAAAGCAACCTGATCGCTTTGGTGCTGTAATATGTAACTAAACTGATATGACCTAATGTACTAGAGTAGTTCATGGTTATTCCATGATAGAATAAGGTAGCAAGGACAGATAACTAGATTGATAATCATTATCCAACAAATATAAGTCTCTGAATTAACACAGATTATATTCTAAAGCTTCCACAAAAGTCCTGCTCTAATGCCTCATTTATAGCATGTGGTTAACTAGGCCCCAAAAGCAAAGCCTGCAGTGCCAACTCTGGTAGCTTCTACTATGTTGGAAAGGCTTCAAATACGGATTCCTTGATAGATTTGCTTGTCTTAGGGATCAGCCTAAGTGTGGAGAGAATCATCATAAAAACCTTTACTTAACTTGGTGATGAATTCATTGGTCATGGCAACCATGGCCAGGTTTAAAAATCTGAAACACTGGGTTGCAAGAATGAAATGATGGAAACCTAATGGAGGAAAACCTTAAGCATGTGTTTCTGACTTTCTGTTTTTAGAGGGCAGCACAGACAAGTAAGTGTAAAACAATCATTCTCTGAACACTGCTTTGGTAGAAATCAGCCTGCTTCATTAGAAACTACACTACGGTAAGATTCATACTGAAAAAAAGTACCTTACCCAAATTGCCATGATAACTTGCAGCATTTGGATTGGCCTTAATTGCCTTGAGGAATAAAGCTTCAGATTCCTAAGTAAATAATTGAGATGTCAAAATGCAAGGTACTTGTACAGATCATTTAAAAGCATATTAACTATAATGGGTATTGCATTTCTTGTCTTCTCAATGGGTGGGGGAGGGGGTGGCAGGGGAGAGAGAATTTGGAACTGAAAAGAAAAATTAACAGCAAGAACAAAAAAGCATATTAGCCTTCATGGCCCATGGTTTGCAAAGTTATTCTTTATCCTGTGACCCTTATATCCTGACCAACATCACTCTTCTACCAAAACAAACAAACAAAAAGAACTCGTGACAATATTCCAATGATCAAAACAACATCTTGAGAAGATGAATGTGGTAGTGATGGTGTTGGTTGAAGCATAAGTAGCAGGATTCCCACTAAGCTGGTAAGGAGGAGAATCCTTGGAGCTTAGGTAGGAAAGAGAGACGGTGAGAGTATGAGACAAAGTCATAAACAGACCTGGATAGAGGGCAACAGTACTGACAGAGTAAGAGCACTCTGACTGCTACTTCTACTCTTTTCAACACAAATTCCAAAATCCCAAGTGAGTAGGTCTGGGTGTGTGTGTGTGTGTGTGTGTGTGTGTGTGTGTGTGTGTGTGTGTGTTTGTGTTTGTTTTTTTCAGGGGGAGAAGTGTAAGAAAGGAGTGGGTAGCATAGGGATGAAAGGAAAGATTGGGTTTAGAAATAATAAAGCAACAGATAGTTAGAGTTTCTGTGAATATCAGTGGCAAATGAAGCAGTTTTCTATAGTAGCCAACATTGGTAGGTTAAGTTCCATATTTCTAAAATTAAGGGTTAAAGAATCATTTCATCTTTTTAACCATCTATAGAACCCATAACAATCAAGAAAAGTCCCATTAGCTGAAAAAAGATCAGCAGCAAGGGAAAGAATAATAACAGCTAGCATTCCTATAGTGCTCTAGGGTATGCAGAACCCTTCAGTTATTCATTTGATAATCATAACAACCCCGTGAAGTAGCTGCTACTATTATCCCCCTTTCCAGATGAGGAACTAGGCCCTACTGATATAAAGACAAAAGTGGCAAGGAATTAGGATGCTTAACAATTTTCCAAAACAATCTCCAGACCAGGGGTTCTTAAACTTCTTTGTGACATGGATTCTCTCAGTAGCCTGGTGAAGTATATGGAACCATTTACAGAACACTATTTTCAAATGTGTAACATAAAATACATAGGATTACAAAGGAAACCAATTATACTGAAATTTAGTCATCAAAATAAAAAAAAATTCACAGGCCACAGGCTAAGAAATCCTGCTTTAGGCTATCAAATAACTTGGGTGTAGCATATCTACAGGCTCTTTCAAACTTTTAATTTACATTTTAATTCCTAAAAGGCCTAACAAATTTAAGAGCAGATAGCATACATTAATCTTAAACATTTTTATTCTAAAGTTTTCATTTCTTGAATTTTATTTTCTCTCTTGCCACCATTTTTGTTTCTCCCACTTGTTTCCTGTCTGTCTCCACCTTTTTATCATCTACTGGGAGAACAACTTTATCAAGCTGTTGTACACTACAATCCCTGAGCATCTGGTGCAAAGAATCTGGACTAACACCTCTGAAATTACTATTTCTTAGTCAGAACTGGCAGAGATCAGCTTATACTTGAGAAACATGACCAAAAAGGAACTAAAAAGTAGGCCATAAGTTAGAAAATATAAGTCAGTAATTTGCATTTCTAAATCAAAGGTCAAGGAATACAGTTTCCTATATTGTAAGATTTAGTTCACCTATTTAACCAATTTCAAGTCAAGAAGCAATTATTAAGTGCCTACTATGTGCTAAACACTGTGCTAAGGCACTGAGGATACAAAGAATGTTAAACAAAAACAAAAAAAATCAGTCCCTGTTCTCAAGGAGTTCACAGTTTATGACATAACATGAAAACAATTATGTACAAATAAGACACATACAGGATCAACTGGAGTTAATCCCAGAGGGAAAGTGTAAGCATTAAGGAGACGAGAGAAAGGCTTCTTGTAGAAAGTAGGATTTTACCTGGGACTTGAAGGAAGCCAGGAGGCAGAGATGAGGAGGAGAGAATTCCAGGCAAGGGAGACAATCAGTGAAAATGCAGTTGGGAGTTGAAATGTCTTGTTTGAGGAAAAACAAGAAGGCCAGTATCACAGAGTGTTAAGGGTATTTGGAGGGGAATATGGTGTAAGAAGATTGGAAAAGTAGGAGAAATTCAGTTTATGAAGGACTTTAAAAGCCAAACAGAAGCTTTTACATTTGATCCTGGAGGTAACAGTGAGCCAGTGGAGTTTATCAAATAGGACAGTGATATAGTCAGACCTTCACTTGAGGAAGATCACTTTGGCACCTGAGTGGAGGATGGGCTGGAGTGATAGAGGCTTGAGGCAGGAAGACCAACCAAGAGGCTACTGTAATAGTCCAGGCATGAGGGGATGCACCAGAGTGGTAGCAGTGTCAGAGGAGAGAAGGAACCATAGAAGAGAGGGACTGCAAAAGAAGCATCGATAGGACTTTGAAAGTGGACATGGGGAGGAAGAGTGAGTTGAGGATGACACTTAGAGTGACTGGGGGGATGGCAGTACCCTCAAAAGTAACAGAAAAGTAAGGAAGAGGGAGATTTGGAGGGAAAGGTGAGTTTAGTTTTGGACATCTTGTGTTTTAAGTGTCTATGGGAAACCAGTTCAAGATATCCAATATGTAGTTGAAAATATGAGACTGGAGGTCAGGAAAGCAATTAGGGCTGGGTAAAAACACCAGCTAATCTGGTATTTCTTCATGGGAACAAATTAAATGGGCTATGTTTTTATGGACTCTGTTTTAACTTTTATGTAACCTTCCATACTTTAGAACAAGGGTTCTTAACTTTTTTTGTCAATCACAGACCACTTTGTAGTCTGGGGAAATCCAGTAGGTGGTGTTGTGGATAGAGCATTGGACTTGGAATCAGGCAGATCTGAGTTCAAATCTAACTACCAACACTTGCTATCTTTGTGATGATGGGCAACTCATTTAACCTCTGTTGGCCTCAGTTTCCTTATCCGTGAAATGAAATAATAGCACCTACCTCTCATGGTTATTGTGAAGAAAAAACAAGATAATATTTGTAAAGTGCTCAGGACAGTATCACGCATATTGTAGGTGCCATGTTAGATATAATTGTTATTGTTATCATTCTCAGAATGTTGTTAAATGCATAAAATAAAACATATGGGATTACAAAGGAAACAAAGTATTTTGAAATATAGCTATTGAAATATTTTCTGAAAAAGATTTTGCTGACCCTAGGGTAAGAACCCCTATTTGAGAATATTACTACATCTGGTGGGACAGTGTGTCACTCATTTTTGGGAAGATGTTTTTACCAACCAATCTTACTACAGCATCTTAGTAAAAAACCCTTTCTAAAGCTAATTAAGTATAACTGGGTAATTATATCATTTGATAAGCACAGGGAGGAAGAACAACAGTAAGGGCTTTGGAGCTATTTTGAATTAGAAAAATTGGCTCCATAGAACCCTGAAGGAAGAATTAGCTATCACCTTCTGGGGACCCAACTTGTAAGTGTGAATAGCTCCAGAGCATGTGCTACAAGTATAAAACCCTCTTTTAAAGTGAGGAATGAGAAAACCAATAAAATCATAATCAACTTTATACATCTGCCAAAGTAATACTTTGTAGTCTCATTATCTTCCCTTTACAAAAACCAGAGACAAGTCACTTAAATTTTCAACCTCGGTTTCCACAATCTGTAGTATTTACTTGACAGGGTTGTTGTGAAGTGCCAGTCAGATTTATGTAAAGCATTTTGTAAACCTAAATGCTATACACACATCAGTTATTCTAATAATAATAATAAAATTAGTGGTACTACAATAGATGTTATAAGAGTTCCTAGAAGGATAAGGCTGGAGTGGTATGCTTACATAATTTTTGATGCTTACAGTTGTTTAGCATTATTGTTACTTAGTGGTGAAAGGATTCTTTCTTCCCAGAATCCTCATTCTTATGTCATACTATGACATGATAATAAAAGCCTCTTTCATTATACAGAAAAACAATACCAAGTAAGTAGATGATAAAATAGCAGTAGATGCATTTGTCAATAAATTTATTTTGTTGTTATTGTGTAGTCATTTCAGTTGTGTCTGTCTCTTTGTGACCCCATTTGGGGTTCTCTTGGCGAAGAATCTGGAGTGATTTGCCATTTCCTTCTTCAGCTTACTTTGCAGATCAGTAAACTGAAGCAAACAGAGTTAAGTGACTTGACCAGGATCACATTAGCTAGTAAGTGTCTGAGGCCAGATTTGAACTCAGGAAAATGAGTCTTCCTGACTCCAGGCCTGGCATTCTAGCCATTGTACCACCTACCTGAGGAAACTGAATTGCAATTGTATATTATAATAAATATGTTCACAAAATTCCAAATTCTTAACTTGTAACAATTTAATAAGTGCCACAGTACTTATGTGCCATGGTTATATGAGTCACACAAATATTATCATATACATTGTCCCAATGGAGTGCACATTAAAATTCCTTGCAAAAAATTCTTATTTCTTCTCTTCTATACTGTCTTTTCTCAATGCCCTGTATATTTATGATGCAAGATGTCTGGAGAAATGGGAAAACTGGCTTCTTGCTCTTGCCTTACAAAGTATTTTCAACTTCATCTTGAGAAAAAAATACAATGTGAAGTGGAAATCAAAAGAAATACTGCTTATGTTAAAAAGCAAGAAGCCCTCATTTAGAGGCAGTAAGATGACAAAAAAAAAACAAACAATATAATGATTACATAGGTAATACAGTGAAAAAGATTTATTGTAGCTGGGCTTCTGGGTTAAAACTGATCCACCTTAACACAGATAACTAGACAGATGAACCTAAACAAAAGTTGGAAAGTATTCACCTTTTTTTTTTTCTTTTCTACAAGTATGTTCTGAGCGAAATCCAGAAGGATTAACAAAGCACAGGGAAGCAATAGGTACTCTTTATCGGTCACAAGTATGAGAAATAGGGCCAAATTTATGATCATGATAGAAAAGTTGGACTGACTGGAATATTTCATAACTCTAGAATAAGGCAGAACCAGTCAGTCAGTAAACATTTATCAAGCCCCTACTATGTGCCAAGCATTGTGCAAAGTGCACAGTGCCTGAAAGGCAAAAGGAATCAAATTTAAAAATATTGACTGACGACTTTATGCCACAGAGGCAAAAAAGAATCAAAAAATATTATGAATGGATGACTTTTTCTCCACTATATTAGTTATCATGGGGGAAAACAAAGAAGATGAATAGCCAGCCTTTGAAACAGAAGAATACTTTTTCCATGGAAAATGTAAGTTAGGCATACTACTCCTGAATATACTGAGAACTGAAGTCTACTTCTGATAGCACGGTTCAGGGCATTAGCTCTAGAGCAGGGGTTCTTAACTGAGATATAGTGAATAATATTTTGATAATGTAACTTAATACAACTGGTTTCTTTGTAATCCTACATATTTTATTTTATGTATTTAGAATCATTATTCTGAGAAGAAGTCCACAGGTTTTGCCAGATGGTCACAGGGGCCCAAGACACAAAAATGGTTAAGAATTCGTTTCTACAGTCATAGTACCGGGATTCAAATTCAGCCTCCAAAGCTTGTTATCTGTATGATGTCAGTCAGGTTTTTTAATTTTTCTGGTCCTCAGTTTCCTTATTTGGGCGATTTCTGAGGTCCCTTCCACCTTTGGATCTATAATCCTGTGACCATGACACAATCTCAGTTTGCAGTGTATTTTGGATTTATATTTAGTGCCAGGATTGGTGCTAAAGTGTGTGTGTGTGTGTGTGTGTGTGTGTTTCTAAAGTGAGGAATCTAAATGGTCATGGATACTCTACCATGCACCTCAGATGAGGAGAGTAAGAAGAAATCCTAAGTAGGCCATTTATGCACCCTGGGTTGGGTTATGATCTTTGTGTAAAAGATGTCACCCCATAAACAAAACCCAAAACCCTGCCTGATCTGGAAACAAACAAACCCAAGCACTCTTGTGCCAGAAAGGCCCAGCTGCAGCTACACTGTGAGCATATGTCTTACTATCAGTAAGACACATTTAGAGAGAGTCCTTTAGGACAGGGAAATTCTTCCTCTGCTGCCTGCCCTTTTCATGGCTCTTAAACCACAGAACCTTCCTTTGGTCTGTCTATAGTCTTTCAAGCAGAGGCAGTGAATTCTGACATGAAAATACATATACTTATTTTTCAGCCTACAGATTTGCCTTTGGGACAATTTCTTCAAGAAAAAAACTGACTATGCTCTACCAAGTGTACCATTGTTCAGTTACCTGTAGATAGATTTCATTCCTAGGACTAATTTCTCTATTTTAATTTTGGCCTACCTTTGGATTTCACTATGCAAAACTAATATTTATGGCTTTTATCAGATGCTATTGGTTAAGTACAAAAAACCTAGTGAATTACAGTTTACAAACCTTGTATTTTTGGGATTTCCCCAGTACATTTGCCAATGAGAACATAATAGAGTGATCATTGGGTATTAATTCTAATGCTTCCCTTCCAACTGCTTCAGCTTGGGCTAAGTTACCTAGGATTGTGGAAGAGAAAAAGAACAAAATGAGTAACACCTTAAAATCTTTTTCTGGTATTTTGGTCTATCTTCCTATAATTAAAAAATCATGTGTATTACAATGTTTACAAATAAATCAAAATTGCCCAAGAAAAAAAGAAGTTATTTGGTTACTTTAAGGAGCTTGAGAATATGGATCAAAGGATATGAATAGGGTCTGAACCTTTTATTTCACTGTTATGGGCAATTCCCTTGTGAGGAAGAGTAGTAGTGGAACTCCCTCTAATAATGCAGGTGGGTACTTTCCTTACAACTTAGTCTTAAAAGAATTTCCTATAGCATTGAGAGACAGTCCTAGTTCTGAGGCCAGCTCTCTTCTTTATGCTATGTTGGACCAAGAGAACACTAAAAAGCAACACACAAAATATTAAAAAAAAAACTTCAGATTTAAAGAGTCTACTGTGATCACTTTCTAAGACATCTATAATGGAGGGTGAGAGCAGAATATTTATACAAACTGGTCCTCACAATGGGGAAGATCACTGCAATTTATCCCACTTGTGACACTATTCAAATAGCTTTTGATTAAAGCATATGTTATAGTATTCAGCAGTAATATGAACGTGTTTCCTTACAGAAGCTAGTTATAATAAAAAAGTTAGAATAGATAACAAACTTACAAATAAGTCTTTCTCAATAATATGAATGTGATGACTTTGAATATTTTTTGAATATGTTTTTGAATATACATATATATGTATTCAATTTCTATTCACCTCAGAGACACAGACCAATATATTCAACTCAACAGATCTTTTTGTTAGCTTGTTAAAGAACTGCCAAATTAATTAATAACTACTTTAGCAATAATTGAATGATGAACACTATGTAAACTAGATCATCTTTTCAATTCTCTCAGCTGCTCATGGTTTTTCATAGTAATGCTTATTGATCTGGCATCAGTGGGGAAATCACTTGGGCATCACAGGTGAATAACCCAAATGACTGAACTTGCCCCTTTAAATTACCAAATAAAAAAAATCTTTTTGGATGGGAATCTTTCTAAATTCATTATATATTTCCTTTTATTCTTCTTGAGAGTATACTTTGCATCATCTAACCTTTTCTTAATTAATCAGGGTCACTGTGAATATACAATCATATCAATTATTTAACTGTTCTCTAATACAGTAAGAATTATTAGGTCTAAGTGAGTTTTTACTCCAACATTTAATTTTCTTAGCCTACTATGTTTTTTGAATTTATAGTTTCCTTTTTTTCCCCTTGCTATCAGGCTAGGGCCATACGCAGAAATCTTGTAATAATGGGATCTCACAAATAATTTTGGAGTACATAAAACATGCTGGGGAATTGGGCATCACCAAATGTGGCAATGACCCCAAAAGCTATAGTGTAGTTACAGACCTTTATCAGGCTTCCAGCTATCATTCTTTACAATTATTATCACTGTTCCTGCCTTCGGCAGAACTTACCAACCATTCAAATTTCCTATGGGCTAGGAAATCAGATTAACTAAGCCTGTTACAACTGTGTCTAAAATAGAAAGAACAGACTGAGTAAGGGACCAAGGGACTCTTTAATGAGTAAAGTTCACAAGCTTGAGTATATTGATTTTTGCAACATCCTTTTTTTTTTTTTTTTTTTTGCAAATCTATTTTTTTTTTTTGGTTGCTCATAGGACTTCTCCTTACTTATGGTTTTTTGGCTATGTCTGGATGGATGACTAAAGTTGTCAAATAAATAAATGCATAAGCCCTAAATTTTACAATGCTACAAAGGCATTTTAGTTTTCTCAAAATTTCTATTTTACATGGCTCAAAAATCAGATAAAAATGAAAGGCACATTTAGTAAACATTTATCTGATTAATCTGAAGACCACAAAAAAACAAACAAATGAGCCATCTATGCTCTTAATTATTAGGTGACATTATAACTATGCATTGTTATTTTGAATTGACATAGAACCACTTTCTCCAAAGTTCAAACATACTGTTAAAAATCACTATACCTGTATTATCAAGCAGTATGATCATGTTGTTCCAAGCCAAAGTATGTTCTGGTTTCAGAAAAGTAGCATTTCTCCATGCATTCAATGCATCTAGGGGACGATTTAAGTCTGCATACTGAAAATAATGCAACAATTTAAATGAATTTTTCTTGTTTTCATTCCTCTTTTTTAAGCTTCTGTGACTGGATTAAAACAGAGAAGACTGAATTTTCAAGTAACATTTAAGATGAAAAAAAATCATATTTAATGATGCCATGTTTTAAAATACATATTCACATTATAGAAAGGGAGTTGAAACCCTGATTGAGTCCTGCCTTTTCTCTCTTCCTCATTTCCCATATACTATATATACTGCAAAGTGTCAGATTTCTACCTCTACAATATCTGTCTCATCCATCTTCTTTTCTCTTATCATGACAACCACCCTTGTTCAAGCCCTCATCACCTTTCTCCAGGACTACAGCAATAGTCTCCTAGTTGATTTCCCTCTCCAATACATCTATCTTATAACTTCTGAACTGATATTGTAATGCAGAGGTCTGACTAGTATTTAAAATCCTTCACAATATGTCTCCAGCCTCCCTTTCCAGGCTTACTTCCTACTACTCCCCTTAGCACACTCTGTATTTCTACTAACAGTCCTACTTGTGGTTCCCAGAAGTCTTCCCACCTTTATGCCTTTGTATAGACTGTCTTGCATACCTAAAGTATCACCACTGCCTCTTTGAATCCTTAGATGCCTATAAGACTCAGCAAGGATTTTATCTCCCATACAAAGCCTTCCCTAATCCTCCTGGCTACTACTGCTCTGTCTCTTCATATTAGCTTCTACTTTTCTGTTTCCATATTGTATTCCCAATGAAATCTAAGTTCCTCGAGGGTAGGGTAAGCATTTTAAATGATTTCCTTTGTATCCCCTAGTACCTAGTGCAATGGAATGTGTGTGTAGATAGAGTAGGCACTGAATTCACTGGTGTGAGGAACTTCACCAGTGAAGATGGGCAATTGGTAATAGAATTGGAGAACTGACTTTGAGTGGGCTACTTAATGGATAAGTTATTTGCACAGGGTCAGACAGCTAGTTTGTCATAGGTAAGACAGAATGAAGTCTTCCTCATTCTGAGCCTAACTCTCTAACCACTAGCACCTGTAAGCCTTTCATCTTGTATATAGTAGGCATTTTATAAACGCATGTTGAATGAAGACTTGTTGAATTGATTAGTTACTAGTTTCTTGCTTTTTCAAGGTAAAAGTTTACAATAATATTACTTAGAAAGTAAATCAACTTTGTGTCTTTGTTAAAAGTTATTTTGTCTAGTTACTAATCAAAAATCTTAAGTTTCGTTGTTCCCTTTTAGCTATACTAAAGTGAAAAAACTTGAGTTTTATATTAGACATACTATTCCCTATGGAAAAATCTCATAAGGTATGGCTCCAACCAAACTCATTATCTTCTCTATTCGCCCTCCTTCCAATTTATAATCTGGGTACCTGTAACATATTTAAATTAAAAATTCCTTTTTTGGGGGGTGGGTGGGAGATTTTCTGTTTTAAATCAGTCATTGGAATTCAAAATGGCTGGCTCTTAATTTGCATAACTGGTAAGCAAAACACCTAGAAAAAAAAGAGAGGTTTCTTTGATTCTAACCCCATGCCCTCTTTCAATAAGTTCTATTAAGGGCTTTATCCCAGTGCAGTTTTGTTTCTTTGACTCTGGTGAAGGTGCCAGTGATGGTAATTTATTGGGATTTAAAGATGGTGCATATTCTAGTACAAACTGTACAGTCTGTCTTCCTTTCATGGGACAACAGCAACATTTTGACTTGCCCTATGACCTTCATAGCAAATAAATGACATATTATGCAAAGGAAAGAAAAGTTTAATGAATTATGGAGACATTTACTAACTCCCATTTACTTGTGCTGTCAGAATTTCTTGCATAGCTTTACTTAGAAACTAAAGCAACAGCATTTCCTTGCTTATCTGACAGAAATTAGGTGAAAAGTTCAAAATGAAAAGAAGTAATGTAAACATAGGTATCTCAATTAAATCAGCATTTACTTTCCTTTCTGTGTCACATGGGCATTATAATTAATTCTTCCACCCCATTTTTTCATAAGCAAATGACCAGCAGAATCTTGCAGGCTTAGTCAATTGGACTGAGTCGCCAAGACGAATCAATAAGACAGAAGCTACTATGATACCATAGTATATGTTTTAATTCTTATTAAAGTAAAGCAGAAAGGAACAAGACTGAGTCAGGTAAAATTGTGGTTTTGAAGTCCTACACTACATAATCTTAAATCTTAAGCATTAATTCAGCAGCATGGTATAGTGGATACAGCGGTGGCTTTGATATCAAGGTGTATTCCTACCTCAGAGCTTACTTGCTGTATGAACCTGGACATGCCAAATAACCCTTAAGGTCTTAGTTTCTTCACCTGGAACTAATCTCTAGAGTTCCTTGTAGTTCTAAATCTATGAAACTATGTATTTCTTTTCTCACTGGTTGGCTTTTTCCAGATCACTACTCTCTAATGGGGGCATGAACCAAATCATAGAATGCTTTAAGAAAATATTAGAATTTACATTTTTAATTAAAAAAAGAAAAATTAAGTTTTGTTAATACTTAATATAGAGATTGGCATTGATTGGCACCTTCATTCTATCTGTGTATCAGATGGTCACATGTTCCACATAGAATGCAAGGCATCTTGAGAGAAGAGAAGGAGTTCTACAAATGGAGAGATTGACTGGTGTCAATAATCATTTGTTTGCTTCAAGAATACTGGGATATATCACAATTTATGAGTGCCTGGTTAAATAGATTTATGCATTATATTATTTAATTTTAACCAAACTAATCCCCACAAAATGGGCAAGTGGCTTAAAAAGATTCTTACAAAGAAACCATAGATTGAAGCCAATACTAATAATGTGAGTCTAAGCAGATAAGAAAATGGTAGAGCTGCCACTTCTATTCCTAGAACAAGCTACTTGTCAGCCATGTTACAAAGTAAAAGCTGTGATGGTTTAATCAGATCTGACAAGAAACCCAATGGGGAGTGATCATTAAAAAATCTTCTTATACCAAATTTTTGCAATTAAATGATATAATATATGCAAAGCACTTTGAAAACTTTAGAAGTACTATATGTGTTGGTTATCTTTATTTTTATTGTTAGTATATAGAAGTTTGTTGTTTATCTCATGATCAAGTATACATTCTTTACTAAAAAGGTATTCCAATTTGCTGACCTTTTTATAATGACAAGTGGCTGTTGATAGTATAATGTTTAGCAAGTATTTTTGAAAAAATAAACTCACTTAATCTGTTGCTTCAAGGTAAAGGTAACATTTTAACAATGATTAAAAAACCAGTTTTTGAAAGAAATGCATGCTATGGAGAGAACATTTTTCAAATATATGTTTGGAAATACTTCCACAAGGTGTTATCTATAAAAACACTTATACCTGCACCTGAAAAACTTGGAAAAAGAATTTTCTAACCTGTTTAAAAATCTTCCAAACAAAGAGCTTCAGTGTTTTTGAACTCATTTGTTAAAATATAGAAATGCAACACTTAATTAGTTTTCAAGAACAAGTAACTGACATCAGCAACATGGAAATTTATTAGCTGAATTTTCACAAAAACTTTTGTATAAATGGTGACTGGAATTGAACATCAGAATCATGTTTTAAGTAAGCACAGCCAATAGTTTACTTTTTTCATCTGAATTGCACATCTCTGTGAAGTATCTTTTTCAGCTATGATAAACAGTAAAATTAAATAAAAAAATTTGAATTTAGAACCAGAATTGCTGTATCACCAAGTGCCAAGCCTAGAGTTTAAAAATATTCAATCACATTGTTTTCACTAAAAAAAAAAAAGGCACGTGGATTCAAATATAAGAAGTTCATCATTGGCTGACCTTACTAAATATTATTATCAATGAAAGTATTAGTAAAGAATAAGAAAAATGTAACAATATAATCAATATGCTACTAATATAATATAATAAAGACAATTATTTAGTAAGCATAAATGTTTTTATGTCATTAAAATGACAATTTAAAATATTTTTTATTTTATCTTTTTTTCATTTTTAAATGTCCAGTTTTAAGTTTTATAATGTATATAACACACAAGTACATGTACAAAATTTGCAAATAAACACATACATATTGGGAGTATGTTTTTTTTTTTTAACTAATGGGGTATCATGATCAAAAAAAACTTGGAGACCAGCGTGATGGAGAATTGTATTCCCTATGTGTGTTGATCTAGAAATTAGAACTTACAAAAAGTCTTCACTAAATAATTCATTCCATAAAGGGAAAGAAGACAAGTCATTATGTCTTCCACATGAGATCTAGGAAGTTTAGTATGTTATGATGGTCAAAGAATTCATCATCTCTTGGACAATCTTGTTTGGGATGACCCTCTCTAAAGTTAGCTAGTTTGGTACTAAGATACAGTGACCAACAATCTATGTCCAGGTTTTTACTTGGAAAGGACATGACAGAGCTCCTGCTGTGCTGGAATAGCCTTTAAGAAGTTACTTCCACAACATGATGAAGCATCAAAGTAGAATCTTTTGTGGAATGAAGAATGGTATAGAAAAAAAAATCTAAGAATATTTTTTGGAAAATATGTCAAACACAACTTTCTTATGCAGTAAACAGGGAATGCTTTGTGTAGGGGCTAGCTGATAATATTCTTTTTAACGAATTTAACTGCCAACTAATTCATTAAAGATACTTGCTCCACACAAATAAATGTTATCAAGCAAGATAAAGCAACAAGTTTCTTTCAAGGTTTTTCTTTCGGCAAAAGAATATTTAAAGAAATGAACTTTTAAGTTATCAGGCTTCTCTAATTCACAAAGACTTAAAAGTTTTTAACTGCTAAAAGTTAAGCTTTGATGAGATTTTTAAAAAATTTGTCAAGACAAAAAACAAAACAACAATGCAGAACAAAATCTTTAAATAATAACAACAGCTGGCAGTAGGTGACATAGGTCATTTCACAGTAACAAAATTAATAAACAATATGTTCAATATAATAGATGCTTTTCTTTCTTTTTTTTTTTTTGGCTAGGCAATGGGGTTAAGTGACTTGCCCAGGGTCACACAGCCAGTAAGTGTTATGTGTCTGAGGCCGGATAATTCAGCTAATAAATTTCCATGTTGCTGATGTCAGGTCCTCCTGAATCCAGGGAGGATTTCTAAGAGAAATACATACTAGCCATCAAATAGCTAGATAAAATTATATTCTATGTTATATTCTCTATGAAGTGACTCTTAAGTAAAATTTATATAGCATAAATTATCTGTCTTCCCCAACTCCAAGGAAGTGAAGTGACAACAGTTACTGGAGACACTATGGAGAATTACACAATGAAATAAATTGCAAAGTGAAAGGACCTTAAAGTCCAAGATGAAAAGCTATAGGTAGAGTCTTCACTTTTAGAAATATCCTAAAAGAAGAGGAAGAGTTAGCTTCCCCCAAAGCTAGGACAACTTGTATGGATACTTACATATAGCATAGTACTATACTGAAACGCAAGCCAAATATATGCTTTAGGGGATACGCTGATGAAAAATAATGGAGCATAATATTAAATTGCCAGAATTGATTTGACATTAACTTTTAGCTTTCCTAAAACTACTAGAATTAAAGATACAAAAGCCTCACAAATAAAAATAGAGATAAAAAAATTATAAGTAGAGTTATATGAGGCCCTCAGTATTCCAGTAAATAACTATTATGAAACACTTTGCTACAAGTTGAATTTCATTACAATATAATACATTTTAAATGTTTTTAATCTCATAATTAATGAAAAACATACAAGACAAACATTATCAGCCCATTTTTACAGACATAAGCTTGAAAACAAAAAAGCTATTAAATGACTTAGACCTTTCTATAAAATATTTTGAAATAAGTTAGTCTTAATACTTCTGTCAGTTTAACGTTATATCCATTATTTTTCATCACCCTCATTAAAAAAATAGCTTTTGTTTGAACGTGGAACAATTCTGCACACCTATAAGTTATTTTTATTATTTATGTAGGAAGGTAGATAAGAATTCATGACATGCATAGTTCTGTTCCAAAAGCTTAGACCCTTTAGCCCCTCACTATTGCCAAGTGTTCCTTCCATTCTTCCCTGGCAACACTGTCCAAATTATATCTATGCAACTCAAAAGCAAAGTGCCCTAGCCAAAAACCAAAAGCCTAGACAAGGCTCGAATGTACACTAACAGTCTTCAAGTACAAGAGGGGTTTTTTCAGCTATCCTCTGTTCAGGATAGTTTTTAGTTGTTCTCCATTTCCCCTAAAGATAGAAGGAAAAAAATGGGTTTATTTTAAAGTACTGGAGGATTTAGGTTAGACAAGAAATTTTGTAAGAATGAGATTGAGAAGTTTTTCCCTATAGATATTTAAGGCAAGATAACTATCTGCTTAGAATCAATTTAGTTATAATCCTCCTTAGGGCACAGGATTATATTGAGTTGATAAATGAGAGACTCTGTCTAATATTCTATAATATGTTGAGTGCACAATAAAAAAAGACTATAATATTCTAGTTTTGGCAAAATGATAAATTTTCTTCTTAACCATTTTCTCTGACAAAGAGTTAGGAATTAAAAATAAAATGTTTTGATTCATAGGAAGTTAAAATTAATATAAAATGCTAAGGAAGAAACATTAAACATTTCTTTTTAAAGGTAGACTATGTTTTCTATGGGTATTTTGTTATGTGCACATATATATTTATATTTATATTTATACATGGAGATCTTTTTTTTTGTTTTACTTTTTATGGAAAAGGAAAATGTATCTAGCCTTACATGAATATTCTCTTAAAACTTGAAAAATAAATCAATAAGTAAACTGTCTCCTGGTTTTTATCAAATAGTTTTAAAGCACTTTGCAGACCAGAACTCATTGCTAACTTGATATCCCTGAGTCAAGTATTGTTATTCTATTTTCAGAAAGATAAATAATGGAAGATAAGAGAATATCATTAGAATTAAATCATTGATTAATACAGGTAGCTTCTTCATGATGAAGGAAATATTAAGCAAAGAAGTTACATTGTGAGTTTTTTTAATTAAGATTTTATTCATTCAAATTGTAAAAAAACAGAAACTGATGGTTTCAAGAAGCCACTCTGAAGAAAGGGCTTCATAGGGTATAGGTACCATTATTTTTCCTAGTTTAACTTATTCTCTAGTTCAGCCTAAAGCATTTGTCTTCTCTATCAATTAGTTTTGATGAACTAAAATGAGAATGCTCTCAATTGAAGGATTTTTTTTTAAATTAAAGGACTTCAAGAAAAGAAATCAAACTCCTATACTTTACACAGACACAGATACACACAGATATGAAAATTCTTCTGCCAAATGTACAGCACAAACTTACCAAACGTCCTAAGTTGTAGTAACAGTCTGGATATTTTCTCCTGTATTTAATTGCTGTACGGTAGCTTTGCTCAGCTTCTCCGAACCTCCGCATACTGTTCTGCACTATGCCTAAATTCATCCATGCTGCAGCAAAGTCTGGTCTAGAAAATTATTTAAAAAAAAAAAAAAAAAGCTCAAACCTCAGAATGTAGGGAATGATTTTTTTTGTCAATGCTGTAATCTGGTGTAAATAATGCTCACTGTATTTGTACAGCAAGAGACAATAGCTCCTCTGCTTCCTGTAGTTCATTCCTTTCTTTCAAGATATTTCCAAGATTATTCATGGCATGAACATATTTAGGATTCAATCTGAGTTGTGAGGGGGAAAAAAAAAAACAAAAACAGAAAACCACTTATTTCTAGTATTTTTACTATGCAATCAGGAAATTGCAAGAATACTTTGTAATTTGGTCATTCAAAATTAAATGTTTTATATCTGAGAAGATAAAATACTGTACATGTTTATATGTTATTTGACAGACTCTCTCATATAATTACATGTATATATATTTTTTAAATAGGCCAGTGAAGTAGTGTTCTCACTACCTTACAGCTTCCCTGTAATATCTGATGGCAGCAGTCTGGTCGCCTTTATCAGCCAGGTTTTTGCCAACGTTGTAGTGAACCTGAAAGAAACAAGTCACAAATCATAACCAACCAATTGGCAGCTGGATTTCTCTTATCCATAGTACTAGCATTTATGGTTTCTTTCAAGTGAAGACATGTAGTACTTTAAAAACTGAGTTGCCAGGATTTAGTCCTTGAAGCATGGAGAGAATCCTTGGACTTGGCTTTTTTTTTTTTTTGTTCTTTAATTTATCCTTGTCACAACTTTTATTTATTTTTTTCCTCCCTTTCTGAGAAGTCTGGAAGAAGGAAGGCCAGACAAAGAGAGAAACTACAGCTTAAGAAAGGCATTATTATTGTTTAAAAGACCTTGATATTTCCAGAAGGAATGGTAACCAAAAGAACTTCATTAACTTTTATAAGAAATTGTTAAAAGTTAAACCATTACAGTCTGATAATTGGTATTCTGTTTCCTAGCAAAGATAATTGAGAAAAGACTGTATCATTAAAATTCTTCGTGAAACTGGAATATAAAGTCAAAAGAAAGTTAACACCAAGACATTGTTCTCCTTTTGATCTGATTCAAGACTTTTAAAATCACATATACATGATCTTTTTCATCCATAAAATTCAAAATGTGTTACCATTATGCTTGAATGTTGAATACTCATTGATGGTGAAAATGCATATTTTCACTATTGAGAAGACAAATTCTCCAAAACCTTATCCATCTTTTAATATAGGTCACCGAGCTGAAATCGACACTGGATATCTAGTCAAATCTCCAATTTTCACGAGGAAATTAAGGCCCAAGGAAATGAACATGACTTGCCTAAGATAATACAACTAATAAATATCCCATAATATTTTTGTGGAAAAAGATATAGTCTGGATGGTAGCATGGTTTGGTAGATTTTGAATTGGCTATACAACTGGCCACAATGAGTAAAGATTAATGGATCAATGTCAACCTGTAAAAGAGAACTTGTTTTATCTTTTAATTAATGATTTTGATAACTTGTACATAAGCTGTAAAAATGACAAAGTTGGGGGCAGCTAGGTGGCCCTGGATTCAGGAGGACCTGAGTTCAAATCCAGCCTCAGACACATAACACTTACTAGCTGTGTGACTCTGGGCAAGTCACTTAACCCCACTGTCTAACCAAATTAAAAAAAAATGACAAAGTTGGGAGTTAGCTGTATGGTAGAATTCTGAATTAAATTATTCTCTATAGGTTAATATAATCAGGTTAAGTAAGGATAAATGTAAAGTCTTATATCTGGATTCAAAAAATCAAATGTAAGAGTATAGGATGAGGAAGAGTGACTACATGTGATAAATGAAAAACAGTGGGAGGTTTTTAGTGGAATACAATGTGAGTTAACACTGACACAGAAGCTAAAAAGGCTAAGAGGATCTTAGGCTGCATCAATACCTAGAATAAGGGAGGCAATAATGCTGCCATATTGTAGTCTGGTCAGGGAAAAACCAATCTGGACTATTGTGCTCAGTTTTGAGTAACACATCTTAGAAAAGACATTAAGCAGCACAAATGTACCCAAAAGAAAGTGATCAGGACAGTGAAGGGGCAGGATCCTCCTTATGAGGATCCATAATGGGAATTTTAGCTTAAATTAAAAAAAAAACACGAAGGGAAACATGATAACATTCTTCAAGTATCTGAGGGTTGTTATATTCAAGGGGAATTAGACACTTGTTTTTTTGTATCCACAGTGCAAAACTAGAAACAATGAATGGGTTGTGGAGAGGCAGATTTCAGTTTCACATAAGGAAAATACTTCCTAACAGCTAGAGAAGCTCCAAAATGGAATGAGCCAAGATGCTAAGTTTTCCATTGGGGCAAATATGTGACTAATTATTTGATGAAGTTTCAATTGGATTAGAAATTCCGATGCTGACTGGACTGGATGAACTCAAGAGTTCTTTTCCAACTCTAAGACTTTATGGTTCTAGTGGCAGAACCAGTTCCGGTATTCAGGGCTCCTGATTTCTAATTCCCTTTTATTACACCACATTGCTTCCTAGTTCTATTCTACTAAGAACTAGTAACTAACAACTAACTAACAAACAACAAACTCAAGTAACAACAAAACAAACAACAAAAAGGGAAAGATAGGAAATATTACTATCCACAGGAAAAAAAAAAAAAGAGAAAAACAAAGCAGATGCAGGAGACAAGAAACCTTATCAAGGGTCCTGGATTTGAGGACACCTCAAAGGCCACATTATTACATTACATCCATTTTAAAAACTAGAGATCAGTGACCTAAGTTAATTATACAATAAATAATTGTTCCAGAAGAAACTAAGCTTCTATCATCCTCCTCATAAACACATTTATACAAAGAATTTAAAGCACATACTGCCTCACAACGTTACTTGGTTCCACAAAAATATGCCATTAAGAAAACATCATTATGGGAATAACTATCAGTTCTATAGGAGGAACAAATGATATAAATAAGCAATTGTCTAAACAATGTTGAAGGTGAGGTTTGTTATAATGGCTTAATGCCATCATTGAAAAATGTTATGAGACACAGCAACATTAGGTCAAGTATGCCTGTATTGAGTACCTAAATGCAAGGACTAAGGTATAAAGCAAATTAGATATGAACCCTGCTCTTTGAAGTCCTACAATCTATTACTATATGGACATAGATGCAGATATTAAAGAAGCTCTTTAATAAACAATAATTAGGTATGTTACCTGTCAGCAAAGGGGTCAGTCAGTGCATTTATTGGGGTGGGCCCATTTTGCTAATATAGCAAAAAATTTTTTTTTTTCTTTTGATGAAATACAGAAATGCTTTGGGGGAATAAAACAACCTAACACTTAACTACGATTAACCCAGGGCTCTATCTTATAACTGTCTTAAACTTAGGCCTACATCTTGCTTCATCTGTCTTGTAATTACATTACATTAATTGTACAGCGTAGTAGATAACTGGCTGTAAAGTCAGGAAAACCTGTGTTCAAATCCTGTCAAATACATGCTGGCAATATAATGATGGGCAACCCAGGCAACTCTTTATGACTGTAAATTATAGAGGAGGTGCTGATCTGCACTGGTAGATGCACTCCTTGCCAGAAGCAATCTCCCTAGACTGATGAAATTAAAGGTACAAATAAAAAAAAAAAAGCACAAAACATGTGAATTTTCCGGGAGGGTATTAAGTAGTGTGATGGTCTTTGAACACACAGCTAACAAAGAGCGACATTTTCTTTCTTTAATCCTCTGTCATATTTTAAAGCATATACATGTATTGTTACCTAATCCTACAAGAAGGCATTGTAACAAGGACAAATCACAGGTGATAAGGAGTATGCACTACTGTGCACCATATGATATAATTTAAACTTTTTGGTATAAATTACTGTCCATTCATGGGTAGTACTGTCTTAAAATTACAGCTTGGAAGAGAATCAGTTAAAACTAACACTAGAACATACATTGTTAAAAGTCTGCTCTAAATGCTTGTAATTTTGCCTTTTCCCACAGCCCTGGGTGTTGTTTCTTCAACATCCCACCAAGCACAAAGGGATTGAAGGCAGTTGAAGCCAAGCTCTACTGCTGTTGCTGCAACAGCAAGAATACAAATTTAGCTTCAACTCAGATTTCAACATGACTCCAGCCTCTTCCGTTCTCTAGCTCCTGCTGCTTTCCTTTGTTACGTGAAATTCTGTTTTCTAAATAAAAAGCTCAGACAAAGAATTCAACTGCCCTCTGCAGTACAGACAGCTTTCTGTGGCAAGCACAGAGCACCAAAGACCGTTAACGCCAAGGAAGAAAAAAAATCACAATTCTTAAATAAAAACTATGGCTCTCTCTATAATTAGTTTAAAGTCTCACAGAACCCTGAACATAATTTGTACTCTCAAACACTTCCCATAATTAAGAGCTGGAAAACAGTTACCCAGAGGTCAGCTTTAGCATGTATGCAATTTTAGCATGCATTATTTCAGCAGCGAGAATAGATCTGGGTTGACATATTGCACACAAATTACACAACCCTATTATCAGGTAGTTTATTAAAAGGGTGTTTAGAGAATGAGTAGTTTTTCTTTTCTATGAAATTTAAAAGAAATGAAAAAATATCTGTTTAATTTTCAATTTTCCCTGTAATTCCTGAATTGCAACCAGTGTGAGAAGCCCAGGAAACTGAAATGCTTAACACAGTTCAGTAAAATATAAGACACATATAGAGTAAAAAAGTGTAAATGATTAAATGCATTATTATAATAAAAATCTAGAATAAGAAGGTTATCAGTTTTGACATTTATTGCAAAAACTGAATCTCACATTTAAAAACACATTAAAAGAAATTTCTAAATCACTCAAGGTCAGTGTTTAAGTAAGACATTATTTAAATACTCTCTGTGGTTGTTAAAGCAATATTAACTGATTGACTTTAGGCAAATCATTGAACCTCGCTGGGCATCAGTTTCCTTATTTGTAAAATGAGATAGCTGAACTAGATAGACCTCTAAGATCCTTTTTTTAGATCCAAAAAAGTAGAGAAAATACATTTGTTAATTTAAAAAATAGAGAGTTGGGGGGGTTCTACAGATGTGAAATGTTGAATGAGACAAGGTTGTTATATTATTAGTTGTACTTAACTGTTGGTCTTAGATACAAGAGACCTCTCACAAATCACGAATAATCTGTAAATGCTTGTAACATAAAAAAAAATCAATAAAACTGAAAGTATAAAAATAAAAAAAGAACCAATATTAAACTAAATTGGAATTGAAAATGGATATATAATAAATGTTTAATTCTTAATAACTTTTAGAAATTGGAACTGGAAGGGATCTTCAAGTCCAATCCCCTCATTTTATAGCTGAGGAAATTAGGATGGGGAAGGTGGGGATCAGAAATGATTTGCCTCAGGTCACAAAAGTATTAAGTAGCAGAGCCTGAATTTGAATCCAGGTCATCTGATATTAAATCCTGTATACTCTTTCCATCATACCCTCCTGCTTTCTATACTAAAATGACATTTTCACTTAATTTAAATATTTAGCACCCTCAC